AGAAGATCGAATATTTTTGGAAGCAACATACATATGTACATTCATACATACATACATATGTACATATGTTCTACATAGTAACCAAACTACAATAAAATATTAAAATGATAGGAAGTACGCGAAAGCTTTCAACTTAAAGGATAATTAACTAAATTAAATGTTTTTTTATAAATAAGAGAAAATAAATGAAAAATATGAAAGTGAGTGGTAAAGTTATAAAATTAGTAAAAGTGGGCTGCAGATCTGAACAATTCAAAATTTAGTTGAAAATATTGCAACATGCATATGTTAAAAACATTTTATTCTTAATTTAATCGAAAAAAAAAAAAAATTAATTTAATTTATTTATTAAAATAATTTCCATTGTATCGCACAGTGAAACGAATTAAGAGTTAAGACAACGAAACGATTTATCGCCTCTTTTGACAAGTTTAAGGAGTTTCTTGATGTGCAGCGACAATTATAGTACACTACACATACATATTGTTCAAAACTAATTAATTAAATGATAATTATAATAATTTAAAGTATTAGCGCATGACGCTTAAAGTTTGCAAAGTCAACAAAACTTAACAAAACTTCCGAAGTTTTCTTCGTGTTCAACATACCACTAATTTAATAAATGTGTGCTGTATTATAAAAATTCGGTGGCTTCTGAAAAAATTTTATGCGCTATTTTTACGGTAAAAAAAAAAAATAAAACAACTGAGAAAACAAATAAAACAACACGCGCTTCAAAAAAGTGTGTAGAAGAGTAAAATAGTCTTTTGAAATTAGCTAAAAATTCTCTTGAGACTTGGTCATTTTTCTATTTCAATAACTTTTACTATCAAAAAATTTCAGAAATAATGATAACATTAATATAATTTGTATGAAACAAATTCTTGAAGTGACTGACATTCTCGAGTGTTCTGTGATTCCCGATAATTTTGAATCGGAAATAATTTTGAACATAATTTTATTCTAAGAGCCATTGATAGACGAAGGCAAGGCACATGTTGATAAAGAAACAACAAAAAAGATTGTTTCACAATATTTTACAGGTGACTGAAAATTTTATTCCTCAAAGACTGAGGGTAGTTAAAAAAAAAAAATCACAGACCGATAATTACACAGTGCTAAAAAAAATTCACGGAATGCACGATAGGGTCGAGTGCAACATTAAAATAGGTTTCTTATAGTTCCTGAACCCTCCATTTTTTTTTTTTAATAAAAAATATCCGTTGTCTCATACTTCATACACTTACATATGTAAGTAACTAAATATTAATAGATTGACAATTTTACAAGAAATTACGGAAGTAGTTTTTGAGATACTCATACAGATACATATGTACATATGTGATGAAAAAAATAATAATTTTTTTTTTTTTATGAAAACCCCAATGCATATGAAATACATATGTAGGTGGTAGCATCAGTGCAAAAACCACATTTACGCATATTTTGTCGTTGTGTCTGGTATCTAAAGTGCCAAAAAAATACTCTAAATAGGCGATGTGAAATAAAAAAAAAAAAAATTTAATTTAAAAAAATATAAATTGGCATGATTTTTTTTACCTTCATATTTAAATTTGTTTCATTCCGAAGCATCAATACATTCTCTGCAGGGCCCAGTAATCAGCGTTTTTGCTCCTGAGTTAAGCAAACGTTTCAAAGGCTGGGTTTTAATCGGTTTTTTTTTTTTTAAGATTCACATGCAAATGTATTTTGCCATTTAAAAATTTTTGTGAAAAGAATTTAAAATTGGAAAGCGCATTGTTTTGCTAAAAACAAATTATAAATATCAATTAATAATTTTTATCCGATTTCTAAAAATTGGGCATACATTTGTTCGGTAACTAAAGTGCTTTTTGAAATTAGCGATGGTCAAAGTTGGAAAAATTTACAGAAATAGGTCTAAGAATATATCTTTATACATAATTTTAACGGTATATAAATCATCTTTTCGAAACATGTTTCATCTTTCAAATTGCATGGAAAATAGTCAATCCATAACGGTTTTTAATTTAATTTGAAAAAAATGGACGGTTCAGAAAGTGCAATTTGATGTTATACTCGACCCTACCTATAACCTGCACTAAATTTTGTTGCGGTTGTATTCCTTGATTTTTTTTTTCACTGTGTTACCGGTTCATGTTTTAAAAAATTCGCTTAAAATTTAGATGAAAAATCGCCAAGCAACTCTATAGTAAAAATATTTTAAACTAGTGCAGAATAATACTACGTTTATACGTAGGCCAATTCACGAAATCATTTCATGAATTTGGGTTAAATGTGGTTGCATAAACACAATTTCATGAATTTAATTATAAACGAAAATTAACCATGAATTTCGGCAGCACTTCATGAACTTGTGAAATGCTAGTCCGGCAAAGCCGCGTTTCACAAAGTGCTGTTTACTAGGGTTTTTAACGTTTTTAGATTCAAAAGCATGTAGTGGCATAACAATGATAAAAAAACACTGGAAAAATTACGTGGATTTGTTCAAATATAAAATAAATTCAAATAGAAGAAATTCAAATGCATTAAAACCCGTTTTCCTGGTACCAACGGCTTTTGCACATTCAAAAAAAGCGGGAAAATATTACAACCCTACTGTTTAGTTTCTCGCTAGTGCGCTGCCACTTTTTCAAAACGCTTCATTTTATGAATTCGCGAATTATGTATAAACGGAACAATTTTTGAATTCATGAATTCCGCCGCATAAACGTAGCATAAGTTTCTTTTATCCATTTGTGATTTCGTTTCTTTCAAAAAATATTGCCCTTCCATGGTGGAAAATATGTTTTATGGTACACTCAATCCTGTAAAAGTAGATATTTTTGCCACTTCTCCTTATCAGGACAATTTTTTAAGTAAGTTTAATTTTAATGTTAATTTTTTGGGTGCAACATAAACAAGGAACACCGCGGCCTTGAAGATCTTTTATATCCCTCTGATGGTTCATAACCCTGATGGCCCACGAGGTTATTAGCCTCCCATACAAAAGCTAAAGGTTTTTTGGTAGACGAGTTCCTAACCTAAAAGGTATGGATTGTGGAAAAACTGAAGTATTGCAGTCTTAGTCTGGCTAATGCTGGACAATCACTTATAATGTGCTACGACATCTCCACGTCTTCAAGGAAAAGACGGCAATCTGTCTGTGGGTTAAAAACCAATTCAGTGCATGTGAGAGCGCAGGTAATTATGGCCAATTTAGCTCTACTCAAGAAATGTACATATTTCCTAGCGAAAGGATAACCAAAAAGTCTGGCCTGTATAAGGCTCCCTACCTCACCCCAATACTTACTGCGTTCTTAGTTTACCTACGCTTCGATTATGGGCCTCGAGGAGCACCAACTGAGTCCACAAAACTTTTCCGGTCCCACAAGTACAGTACTTGAGGCCGTGTCCTCGAAACCAGCACCAAGAGTTTGATAGTGTCAAAGTATTCCCTGATCAGCCTGGAACGGATCGTCCTAGTGGAGAGGGTCCTTAAAACCTTCTCAAGGTTGAGTCTGGCACAAATTGATATTGTTAGTTACTCATCTTGAAAACTGTGGACCAAGTACCCTTTGCAATAGAAACTGTGTGCCAGGTCAAAAGACACCCGCCCCTGCTCCGTCCGTGTACCAGTGTACATCTAATTCAGGCAAACCATTTGACCAGACATCTCGCTCTGCGATTTTGACAGATTTCCTTTGGCATAATGTCGGAGAAATCGCTGATTTCTAGACCTGGTATTTTGCTCAAAATACCTTTGTGTTGTGTCTTGTTTTTAAGAGTACTGTCAAAGTTTTGCATTTCTAAATTCTTCGAAGCTGCTGCTTGGACAAAAATGTGGAGTGGAGACCAACTCTCCTCATTGCTCCTTTTACCGACAGTAGAGCCATCCTTTGGAGTTTTTTCAGGCGTGAAACGGCAGTTTTTTTTGCAGCCTTTTTGGCCACCAGACTATGGAGGCATAGGTTACAATCGCACAAACTACAGTTCGGCAGCCATTCTATTAATTTTCGACCGAAAAGTCTTCGACAGGTTCACCTTAGTCCTTAGCCAGGGTAACCCCGAGGTAACCCGAAGGGTAACCGAGCCAAGGTTTGGTTTGTAATAGGTCGTCCGCATATCCACTTTCCTGTAGTTTAGTTAGTTTAGAGGTCATCCACCACGAGAGACCACAGTATAGGAGAAAGAAACCCGCTCTGTGGGCACCCCCTTATGGATCTGATGTTCAAGAAGCTTTTGCCCAGAGACGATTGCCAGTGGGTAGATCTATTCCTCGTTGGACCAGTGGCCTTGAGATAGATTCGTAGAATGTCCAGGGGGTGCTTTTAATGTGCCTTACATAAAGCAACCTGTAGGGAAGAATCTGTTTATTTGCCTTTGATATACACGAACTGAGTGTTGTGCAATGGAGTTGCGTGTTATTCCTAATATGTAGGTCTAGCAGTCCTTCGATGGTCTTTTAGATGACTCAACTTAAACTAATAGGTCGGCATGACTTAGGTAAGACGGATACCCTCCTCCAAGTTTACCGTATATATTCCCATGAATAACTTGCCCTAAATAAACAGACCAGCGAGGCCATCTCCGCCTGTAGCTTTCGGCAACCGAGCTAAGACGGCTAGGTTTGGTTAGAAGGGCGTGTGTGGAATATTCCATACTTTCACTTGGAGACAGAATTGTCCATGATGAGTGCCCTCTTTAAGTGAGTGTCAGGAGAAGACACGTATCTATAATCGAAAGAGTAGCTTCAAATCATTATGCTACTGAACCAATTACTATCCCTGATGAAGCCGATGAGATCCAACAATTCCATCTCCGCTACTTCGCCCAGACTGTTGAAGAAGCGTGAAGCCAAGTGCTTGAGTCGCTTCGTCTGTAGACCTGAACATCGATAGTGGTTAATTGACTCTTCCTCATCCAAATCATGTCAACCTCTGCAGAGAGTTGTTGTTGTCATTCGCCACCGTTGAAGCATTGGTGCTATAGCACAGTTACCGGTGATGACGCCGGTAAGGACTCTTATTCCAGATTTATTGAGTTTCCGTATGTCCTTTGCCTTTTTCCTACTAAGCTGCAGCCATAATAATCTTGTGGTCTCATAGTTATCCTGTTTGTTCCACAAGCCATACGTCGCGACCACGGTGTATTCATCCATTTTATCGTTATCACTAAACGCTGGTAGTACGGAGCTATCCGTTTCTTCTATTGGCATCTCTGCGCTGCGTAGATGTAATGTAATCAGTGCTCGCTTCTGTGTCAGTGGGCCCTTTTTATTTTATTCAGTATTTCTGCATGCCCGAAATTGGTGGTTGTCTTCCACGTTTTGGCTTCTCTGAGCCTGGCAGCGCTCTTTGCGGCCGTACCATGGATGAAAATATGCAGCGGTTGCAAATGAAATATCATTTTAAGCCCTTCCTGAGGTGCGCAACTTACTGCTGCCGATATGGCAAAGCATGCGAGTCTTTACAATTTCTTATTATTTTCCTGTTATTAACTTTGTCTAGAACCCTCTACCATACTAAGGACTCGTGGGTTGCCAATTGGTCTGATGACTTTGGTGTAAATCCCATAGAAGAGGTACGATGATAGTAGTCTCCATTGATTTCCAAAGGTCCCCTTGCACGTATAGAGATTTCCTGGCTCTCTCCTCTAAATTCTTTTTCCAACTTGGAGTCGAGGTATTTTGCCTCGGAGGAAATATTCAAAGTAGTTTCACCTCATTTCGGGTTATGAAAATTTTATATTCTTTAAGTTAAATTTAATTAGCATAAAATTGTGACCGATCAAAAGCAATTGAGCTGTCCACCTAGGAACGAAACGTATGGTTGTTGTTTCCTTGTCAGTTTGCTTTTGGGGTGAAGCTCTCCCACTTTGACAGATCGCAACTATTAACATATTTGACTTTTAACAATCACCTACATACAACGGAAGTGTGAAAAGCTATTTTTTAATTTGTGTTATCTTAAGCGTGTCCGTGTATTATGTGAAACTATTGTTTAAATAAATTTCAATTGGAGTATAAAAACTAATTGTGCTAAAATGCTTAGTAAAACAGAAGAAAGAACGCGGAATATTTAAGAAAACTCGTAATTGAGCTTACAGCAAAAATATATGTAAAAGACGTGTGATTTCTGGAGTACCGACTGTGCATACATATGTATATATAATACATACATACAATGTAAATAGATACATACATGCATATGTGCAATTTTTATCGCGTTTTACCTTATTAAACGTGAATTTAACTAAACGAAGACCCTTAAAAATGTGCGCAATGAACATAAATTCGTGGCTATCGAGATCGATGTGGCGTCATAAATTGTAATGTTAATTAAACGTAAGTTGGCACCTTAACTGCGAATTTTCACGACAAACGGCGAACAACGGCAATGGGCAATGCAAGACAATAACAACAACAACACAAACAACAACAACAACAATAACCAATACAAGGCTAACTGTCTAAGTGAGAGAAAAAAAAAAAGAATAAAAGGTGTATAAGAACTAAAGTCATGTGCCAACAACAAAACAAAAAACAAACAGGAAATATCGCAAATTCAAGTGATTACTTAGCCAGGATTGTACTAGCAACACGTACATGAACAATGGAGGCATGCATAGGCAAGCGTTGAACTGTGATAGCTTTGACAAAGAAAGTGGAAAAGTAGAGTTTTTTAAGAACTAACTTGTCTACTGCGAATCACTTAAGTGAAACAAAATAAAAGTAAATGAAATTAAAAAAAAAAAACAAAACGAGTCAATTATTAAAATACAATAAATTAAATTAAGTTTCATTAATTATATTTACACACACAATATTTAAAAACAAAATAAAGAAAAATAGTAATTTTGGCATCGGAGTGCTGTGAATACATACGTTCGTTTTTGTTCTTGTGTGAATTTGTTGCTGTATTTAATTTTATTTTTTAATTTGAATGTACCCGCATTACTTAAAAAAAAATCGTTGTGCTCATTCACCTAATGCACAAGCGATCTCCATACTATTGACCATTACCCAAAAATCTAAACTCTACCATACTTCAGTTGTTGCATGCAACAGCAGCACCAGTCAATTGTATTGTTAACAACGACAACGTCGTTACTTTATTGAAAAGGTAGCGGTAATTTGTTGAAAGTAACGCTTTGAAACACTTGTTACGTGCCGTAAAAATAAAAACAACAAATCGTTAAATAAATTTTACGCATATCCAATCCTACGAACACTTGCATCTAGCGAATCTTAGCATTGCGTAGCGAGTAGCACAATCATGCCATCAAAAGCGTCGCCCTCTCCACGATCAACGGCATCGCGGCGACAGCAGCTACTCATTCGCTCAACCGTCCACTACAATCTGCGTTCATTCAATTATGTTGCTGACGAGCCCCAACGCATCTACCAGGTGTGGCGCATTACCGATACGGTATTGCAAAGTCAACAGGAGCAGCATCAAATGCAACACCGACGACAACAACTCCCTTGTAAACATTATCAACAGAATGTCTGTAACATAGCGCTATTCATGGGCATCACTGCTCCACATTTAAAATTTTGCAACAACAACAAGTTCCTATTAATATTGTTCCTCTGCGTTTCTTTATTACTGCTCGCCGGCAATTGTCTACCCACAGTCATGGCAGCCACAAATCCGCGCATACCCTATAGACCACCGAAAGCGGAACCGGGCGAATGCAGAAGCATCGATGTGCGTAACGAATGCGCTAGTCTGAATCAGCTGCATAACTGCACTGTTATTCGTGGCTTTCTGTTGATAGTCCTTTTGCCATCGTTGCGCAGGGGACCGCAAGAGGTTTGTGATTATGGGAAGTATAGCTTTCCTTTGCTGCGTGAAATTACCGATTTTCTGATATTCCATGATGTGAAGGGACTGCGCAGTATACGTGATCTCTTTCCCAATTTGGCTGTGATACGTGGCCGCCGTTTGTTCCTGAACTATGCACTTGGCATTACTAATATGCCTGATTTGGAAGCGGTAAGTGTTTGTATGTAGGAGTTAAAAATTAAAATCGGCATTTTCTTAAGCAGGACATGAGCGTCACATCATTCAATTAGTTCCAGAAACTCGGCCACCGATTACCTTTTCAATTTGCTTCTTGTTGTTTTTTTTTTGTTTTTTTTCCGCAAACAAAATGCATTCAATCAGAAAGGTTAGCGACGTTTCAATGGGAGTGTATGCTACTGAGTCAAGCATTCTTAAAAATCTTGGCCCATAATTTTTAATTATGTAATTTTATTTTCTTTCTGTACAGTTTGGAAAGTCAATTATTACTCTTAGAAATTTTGATGCTGACTTCAGTAACCGGCGTAGCCAAGTTTTTCGCATTCCCTTTTTCAAATAACTACATTTCCCAGCGGCAATAGACCTGGTTCTCCCTCCAGTTTCGCAATGTAGAATCTTTTGACTTTCTGTCCTTTTGTGTGGTTACGCCAAATATTCATTCGACGTGCATACTGACCATAAGAATACTGTTACATCCTTAGATAAACTGTCGCATGCAAATTTAAAGTAGTCGATAAAGAAAAAATTAATTATCTCATAAAAAAATTAAACCACGAATTATTTAAGTGCGGATATGACTCTTTTACGGAACTGAAGGCTTAATACTTCCACAAAAAATTTGTTAATCGTTATAGCTTGAACACAATTCTTTATGTAATTTAATATTTATGTGACTCGTAGTTTAATATTTCCCCACTGAGAGTAAAACTTTATTATGTTCTTTATTATTAAAATTTTCAGTATAAACCAAGGCATATCAAATAGGTAGTAGCATTAGAGCAAAAACAACATTTACATCATGATTCAATAGGAGCGTTCCTTATCTCCCAGAAATAGTCAGAAAAAGTCCGAAGTAGTCAGATTTAGTCCAAAAAGCGTTCCTTAACTCGGAAATGTCAGCAAAAATGGGAGAGCAACACTCAGTGAGAGTGACTCTCATCAGTCCGAAGTAGTAGGATTTAGTCAGAAGAATTTTTGCTGGCAAAATCTTGAAAAGAGTCAAACTCAACTGAATTTAAATTAACGGAAATTAAAGAATACGCAAAAAGTGAGAATAATCTAAAAAGTAAAAAAGTGAATTGAAGTTGGAAGGAGGCAAAAAATAATTGATATAGTAAGTGTTTATTGTGCTTGTGCTTGTGTGTGAATGTGTTTTGTACATACATACATTTCCATTCTTATATGACGTTAGCTTTGTTGTTGCCATTCTTTGGACTAAAAATTTGGTTTTTTTGCGTTCCTTTACTTTTCCTGTTATTCTCTTATAGTGAGCGCATTTTGCTTACGCTCTGGCATTTTGACACTTTTCAGATTGTAGTCCAAAAAGATAATGAATGAACCTAATGGCTGCGTTTCTTTATACATTCCGGATAATCCCATTTCACAGCCGGAATAAACAGAATGCCTTTGAAATATACGTTAACATATCATCAGGAACGTTCTAAAGAATAAGTAAACAAAAAAGTTTATTCCAAACGTTCAGAATGAATAAAGAAATGCAGCCAATAATTAAAGGTTTGCTCATTAGTGACATTAGAGTTTTGACACTCCCTTAGCTCCCTTACAAAACTTTGCATACACATACGAACCCACACACAGTGCTTTGCTAAGGGAGCCGATTTCGTCAAGAGGGAGCGAGAAAACTGTTTTTTGAGCAAACCTTTTATTAGGTGCGTTCGCGTAGCTGTTAATTGTTCAAGTTTAACCAAAACTTACAGGTTTTTGCGTTCGCGTACGCAAAAAACTTGCAAAGTAGGGGAAATTGAGAGAGCAAAGTGACATTTCATTTTGAGGGGAAGCTGTTAGTTTCTGTTGGAAAAATTTTTGCCAACAGCAATTTGCCAACAGGGAAACAGCTGATCAAAAACAGCTGGTTGGCATTTACGCAAATCACAAAATTGAATTTGATGGTTTGGAAGATAAAAATTACAAAATGCGACTAATTAAACTTGTAAGAAATAAGTAGTTATTTGTTTAATCTATAAATTGTGTCAGTATAACACTTTGCGACGACTTTTCGTACGTTTTAAATTTTACACTTTTGTATGTAAACAAAAATTATATCAGCTGTTCGTCTAACTTGCAAGTTTCTGCAAATTTTCTGTTCGCGTACTATTTTGGATATTTCTCTCTTGTGAGAGAACAGATGACATTTCGCCGGAATTTGGCAGTTGGTTGGTTTCTGCTGGAGATTTTAAACGAACGCACCTATTATTGAATCATGCATATACATGTATTCTATTGTTGCTTCTGGTATCCAAAGTGTCAAAAACTAAATCAAAGCGTGCCATGTGAAATACGAAAAAAATAGAAAATATAAAAATGAATTTGAAAAAAATTAAAATTGTTGCAACTTTCTTTCTTAGTAAATTTGTTTGCCTCTCGAAGCATTGATCCATCCTGTGCAAGGCCTAGTAATCAGCAGTTGTGCTGCTGAGTTGGGCAAGCGTTCCAAAAGCTACTATTCAGTCGCTTGTTTTGTATGGGAAAAAGTTTCACATGCAAATAGATTTTAAAAATTTAGAATTTTTGTGAAAAGAAATTAAATATATTTGACATTTTCGATACCAAATAATTTGAAAAAAAGAAAAATCAAATCAGCTGCTCTACTGATTCTACCTGTTCAATGTGACTTGGTATAAACGTAGCTTGAAAACATTTAATTATTGAATACGTACCTCATTCGGAGCTGATTTCACAGTGCGGAATTAACTTAAGCAGCATTTACATGAGGCGATTTCGTAAACGATTCAACATCACGTGAAAAGTTGCAAGCGATATTATCGTTTTCTAGAAAATTTAAACACAATTTACACAGGCGATTTTGTTGAAAGCAACTGTGGCGATTGCACCTTCTGAACGCGTTGTAGCGTACTTCTGATCAACTGAACAGTTGCTTGTAATAGGGAATTTATATGAGGCGATTTTTCAGGCAACTTTTAGTTGAGAGCAACAATCGCCTGGTGTAAATGGCCTTTCAACTAATCGCTTTTAATGAAGTTGGTCGGCTGCCTAATTTCGTTCAACTTTTGATTCAACTAATCGCCTGTGAAAGTTGAATCATGTAAATTCCCTATCAGATGATCGTAACATTTTTCTGACCATTTGAGACAACATGTTGGGTGTGTACCTTAGAGAGTTGAATATGACAGGTAATGTATCAAGCCGTTTAGAAGACGCATAACGATCACTGATTTTTTAGCAACGGTTGCGCTCAACTGCTGCGCCTTCTGAACCTACCCATTGACATTTTTTCATGTGAATATTTACAATTTCAAATTGAAATTGGGAAACGAAGTTGCCCAATTTGAAGGTCGTGGAAACGTAATTTTAGGAAATTTCCGGCTTTAGATTCTGCAGGTAACTACAGATTTTCAGATTGTAAGTTACCTGTCGGGTTTAAGTCAACTCTTCAATGCACTATGGTCTAAATGCCTGTTTTTCTGGCCAAAACTAATTATTTCTTTACATTTTTTTGTTGATTGGAATTTGTTTTTGAACAAAAAAATCTTAACCCTTGACGACCAATGATGGGTCATAAGGGGTTACTTTTTAATTTGTGGTTTTATTGATAAAGTTTTAATGCAGTTTTTTTTCAAATATATATATTGAAGAAAACATTTCCACCTAGTTACGAATGCAATTAATTTTAAATAACATTGGCAAATTATATTAAATTTCAGTGAACACCTGAATGCTCTGAATTTCCTAATTTGTCTGCTGAAAAGTTAAAAGGAGTAGCAACAAAATTGTAAACAGAGTTTTGTTCCCTCTTTATTGAGTTCTCCCCTCCAAATAGTTTGCTACTGATAGTATAAAGAATACCTATAAAAAGAGCCATTTTCTCAGAAAACACTAAAAACCGCAACATGAAATTGACAAATTAAACTCAAACTCAAAACTCTTAATTTAACACATTACACACTTAACACGCCCAAATTCGGCCATCATTTTAAAGGCATATGGGTCATTCCAGCGAAGACGACACCTCAGGTATAAAAAAAATTACATCAATTGTTTAAATCTGTAAAATTAGTAAAGCAGGTAGAATAATTCTTTAGAATAAAATTTTTATCGATTTATTTTTCACTATTTTCTGTATTTAATTGTTATAAATGCATATACAATATGCTGTAATATTTTTTCATCAAGTTTTTAAAGCATTCCTTATGTACTAAAGATGAAAATGCAAAGAATAAATAATTATCAAAAAAGAAAGAACAATTCATGAACCTTAAAATGGTGGTAAGTTGTTACAAAAATACATTTATGGTGAGAAGTTCACAAAAATGCTTATTGCATGTCCCACAGCAAAATATGTATTTTTTAACGTAACATGCAAATTCTCAAGTTTCCCATTGTTTGATGAGGTCCCCTTATTAAAAATATAATAAATATTCACATCATACCAGCAGTGTCCATTTAACTCTCGAACTACTATGTGTCCTCAAAGGTGACTCGTCCCACCCGTCACAAAATGTCCCATCCGTCACAAGCTAAAATTGTTTTTATTTTTTTTTTATTTTTTTAAATATAATAATGCCATTAAAGGATAAAAGGGTACTTAACATTTTACTAACTTCATTCGAGAAAACCGCTATAAACGAAATATTTATAGATAGTTTGTCTAAAATTGGGAAACGAATCCAACAACTCAGAGAAGCGGGTGTCATCGTTGTTCCACCCGCAACGCTTGGAAAATGTTAAATTTCTGACTTCAAGTGTGAACAGTTTTGACACAAATTAATAGTTAAAGAGAATTTACTAACCGTTTGAGCAAAAACGAGTTTAAATGTCCCACCCGTCACTTTGGAATGCCCCATATTCAAATATCATTTTTAAGAAAGAAAAAAATAGTTAAAGTGTATATGAAAAATAAATTTTTCATTAAAAAAAAAAGCTCTATAAAAGAAGACAGTTTTGGATCTTTAGGGTTTGTCCCTATATTTTTGATAATTTTTTAGATCACTATTAACTTAAAAAGTGTTGTTCGAAAATAGCTAACAAACAGAACACAAAATCGATTCCAGTATTTCACTAACAGACAACGACTTTGTTCATTTTTGGTTTGAAGTTTTGTTTATCAAATACTAAGGAGAAAAAGTTTACTTTTGTAAGTACGACAGACGACTTTTGGCCATAGTGTATAGTGCATTGCAGCAACGAAATTTTAAACATCCTTTTGTCTCCTCTCTTTACCGAAATTAGATTTTATCACTAAAACAAAATCGCAATATTTTGATATCACACATCTTTAATATCTACTCGTAGCGAATTTCTAATTATCTAAAAATAATGAGAGTTTGACTGCTGCTTGTTTACTACATTATGGCTTTTTACAAAAGCAAAGTTACATACCTGTTCTATGTCCTATTATCTAAAATACAAGAACATAGAATACAAAAAAAAAAAAAGTGATGTTAGTAGAGCTTAAAAGTTATTTTTGGCCAGAAAAACACGCATTGAGATCATTTTTATTAACATTTTATTTAACATTTTTTATTTCAGCTGGAATTTAAATCTCTAATTGCCATTCAACGTGGACACGTTTATATAAATAATTGTCCAAAACTATGCAACTTAGACAAGGTATGAACAATTTTTTAAATAATAGTTGCGTTCCTCAACTTTTATGGAAAATCAACTGATAAAACTGTCAAAAAGCAAAATGCGCTCAGAGAAAACCTTATTTACTCTCACCTTATCGCGAGTTGGGGAACGCAACTAATGATGATATCAAACCTCTTTGAGTTAAAAAATTTTAAAACTGGAAATTCAAATTAATGTTTCGAATGCATACAAATTTGGTATAAAAAGTTCCCGCAGGGAACTCCAAGATTGAAAAAAAAAATATACATATCGTCGCTACCTTAATTCACAAAGGCCACAATCAACAAATTTTTTAATTTATAGAAGAAGCAAAAAACATTATAAAGAGTATCAAAAACAGGTATGTCTTTTTAAAAGTTGCATTTAACTCCGCTGTTTTTGGTACCAACATTTTAAAATTTTTATTGAAGGTGTGTTATAAATTATAAATTATAATTTATAATACATCCTATTAAAATCTGTAAAAAACGCAGTTTCGTTAAAAGTGTTGGTGTAGGCCGTGTGAATTAAGGTATGCAGATATCTCTACATGGAAAGTTCCATGTCAATATATATGGAATTTTCGATAGTTTTTTTATCGTTCCTCAACTTTTCCACCTAGGTGCATATCGTTACTCATATGTTCTGTAGTTGAGACAATAGCCATCATATTCGCCTTTTGATTTCTGGAAATATATTTAAAATGCTTTCGAAGTTACTTACGGCAATCCACATTATTTTTTCTAGAATTGCCGCACCTATTAAAGGGAATCGAATAAATTAGCAGACTTTTCGTTTATAAAAAGCTGAATAAAAAAATAAACTTCGCAAATTGTGTTTTTTGTCTTTTTCGCCATTATTTTTCGGTAATCAAAATTATGGAAAAGCAAATCTTCTCCGATTCCCATTAAACTATAGTCTATAGATATAAGCTGAGTTTAAAAAAAAAAAAAAACTTAATGAAGTTTAAAGTACAGCCATCTTTTGTGTTCATAAAATCAATAATTAAAACTACATACGAATGATGTAACTTTTTTTCGTTACAATCTGTCTCATTTAGGTGCATTTATTTCCATGAAATGAAATTTCCATTTTTCATCCCTGGTAAGTAGAATCTCGACAACTCAAAATTCGCTATAATTCGTAGCAAAAGGGACACCAATATATTTCGAGTTATCGAGCTTACACATGTGCATTTGAAGCATAAGCATTGAATTTATTTCTCTCAACCCGGAACTCCATGGCATGCATATACTACGTATGCGTGCGTTTGTCAGATAAGAGGAATATACAATTTCGTATGTCCACACTTACACACACAGCACCGCACGCATACAAATATGCATGCTATGGAGGCCCTGTTTCACTTTTAATCCGAAAATTCCTAGATAAATTGGGATCGCCTTACACTGTCCGTGGGTGAAAATCAGGTATTTCCTATAGCGCCAGAGAGCTGCCCAACAAAAACTGTTTGCCAACGCTGTGCTACCGAGTATTGTTGGTCCAATGATGTTTGCCAACGTTTCGAAAATGACAATCTGATCGATACGAAACAGTGAGTATTGAATTTAATCAAAATTAAAAACTTTTCCAATTAACGTATCTAAGCGGTGTGCAGTTTTTATTTTTTGCCTACGCACGAGGCAACTGAAACATAAAATTTTATTACATTGCTTATATTTTTAAAACTATGGGCGTGTATGAATCGGTAACAAAGTTCTATGGGGAAAGCTGTTGAATAATATTTTTACTATGGTGAGAGAGTTTTGCCAATATGCTGTGTGAAATGAAATATTTTTGGACAACAATAAATTTTTGATAACCGCAAATTTATGCGGAATAACATATTACAATTTGAAGTGAAATTGATATTTTAAGAAATAATCTGCCATCATTGATTGCAATTCATCAATTTAAGCTTTTATTTAACGAAAAATTACACATCAACAATCTTTGCGATTGTCAGAATTTTCTATACATTTGTCAAAAATTTCACTAGCCTCATGAGCTACTGAAATTTTATTCCCCTCATAGTTGTCAAAAATTTACTCGCTGCGAACTTTGTTACCGATTCACACACGCTCAAAATATATAAAATCCACAGAAATATTGACAGGTAAAAAAGCAGCACAAAATTGTTTCCTTGGCGTTCATTGTGATATACATACCTTTTGCATCTGGCGCTTTACTGGCAAAGTTATAAATGTCACGCAAAGCCACAAAGTTTTATCTGACATCAGCTTGAATTCGGGAAGATATTGAAAAACTTTGCAGTTTTTTTATCTGTCAACCCCTTTCACAACCATTGTAGTTCTATTTATTTGTTAGTAAGCGTAAGTTATGGCATACTTATTTTTTCTTACTATCAAATGGTTTCGTTTGCAGAGGCATCCAACATTGTCATAGCGAATGTCTGGGTGGTTGCTCTAACAGCTCAAGCGTCGGTTGTCTAACATGTAAAAACTTAATGGATCACGGGTCATGCGTGAAAGAGTGCCCACCGGATAAGTGAGTATACAAAATAAAAATTCCGAAAATTAATGCTATTGCAACTTTTATTTTCGCATTTTAGATATTTATTTGGCATATTTCAAAACTGCTATACCGAGTCTGAGTGCAAGCAAAACTTGAATATGACTATCGAAAACGACCAATGTTTGTTACACTGTCCGCAGGGTTCTATATTCGATGTGAGCATTTCTTGTTTTAATCACCAGGGCAATTCGGGCTAAGATGGTAAAAAGTCTTTCGTAAGACAAATGAAAGACAGATGACAAGATAGTTCGAAAGACTTTTGTTATTCTAGCACAAATGTCTTGAAAAAAAGCTTCCTCATTCACCACTGGTTTGAGAGAAAGCAGTTGTACATATATCATTTAGCTCGCATCGCTCCAATAGTCGCAATGGCCGAATGGGCAGAGCACCAGCGTGCCGTTCGAGACGAGTTCAAGTCAGAGGCAGAGGATTTTTTTTTGTTATTTTAATATAATTTTATTTATTTTAATTTTTAGATTTTATTCCTTTAAAAAGAAAAACATATTGTTTTTATTTTCATTTAATTTTTGACCCAATTTTATGTATATTTTCTTTTTTAATATTTTTTTTTTTAAATTAATTTTTATACATTATTAATTAAAATTTCTTTGTATTTTCAGATGTTATTTTTTAAAAGCAAAAATACGTTGTTTTTTTTTTATTTTAACATTTTTATTGAGCTTTGTACCACGATTTTGTTTATTACGGAAAATTGAAAAAGCAACAAAGTTCAAGCGGTAGAAGTTATAGCAGCTATATTGTTGAAATTTTGATTTTTATTTTATGTATTTTTTCTTTTTTAATTTAATTTTTTCTTAATTTTTAGATATTATATACATATTTAAAAAGAATTTTTTTTTATATATCGTCACTATACACGAATAAAGGCGCGCTTAAAAAGACGCGTAAAAAAAGTTTACGAAAAAATACGCTTAAGGAAAACTTTCTTCGCTGAGTTTTTTGCATGCGTCTTTTTTCGTTGTCAACTTATGAGCTCGCGCCTTTATTCTCGTATAGTGACGATATTATTTAATTTCTAGGAATTCATTTTATTTTTTATTTTTTAATTAGTATTTTTTCTTTTTTAGTTAAATTTTGTTTTTAATTTTTTAGGTTTTATTGTTTATAAAAGAAAGAAATTTTTAATTTTTAGAAAGGTATGGTATTTATTTTTCTTTTAATTTAGTTTATTTTTACTTGTTTTAAATTTCCTTTTTTTAATTTTTAGACTTTATTGTTTTAAACATACAAATATGTTGTTTCTTTTCATTTTTTGGATCTTATTTTATTTTTTGTCTTTATTCGGTTTAATTTTTTTTATTTTTAGATTTTGTTTTAAAATTAAAATTTATATTCAATAATTTTATTGAGCTTGAGGCCGTTTATTTTAATGAAAACTATTGTGGTGATTTCCAAAATAGGTATCACTTCTACAATTTAGAAATTATTTTTGATTTTCCACAATAGTTTTCATTAAAAAAAAACGGCCTCAAGCTCAATAAAATTGTTGAATATAATTGTGATAAAGGCATAAATAACAAAAAAAAAAAACACAAAAACAAATTAAAATTAAAAATATTTTTTTTGGTAATATTTAAGTACTATTTTCTTCTTTTTTGATTTATTATTTTATTTTTCTAATTTAATTTTTAGATTTTATTATTATAAAAAGAAAAAAATATCCATATTTTTTAATTTCATTTAATTTTTAATACTATTTTTATTTGTTCCTGCTTTATTTAAGTAATTTATTTTTATTGATTTGTTTTTATTGTTAAAAAAGTATACATATTTTTTAATTTAATTTAATTTATAAACAAACTTATCCTCTTAGCAGATCTTTCAATTAGTCTTTCGAAAGACAGTAAAAAGCTTTCAAGATAGCTGCCAGAATTGAAAATTGTCTTACGAAAGATTTTTGTCTTTCGAAAGACCGTGGTGAGTTAAAAGACAATCGCCAGAATTGCCCTGTAATATGCATACAACTGCTCTAATAATGCCTGATTAACACATACACCTTTCAAATTCTCTTAGGTCAATGGGCGTGATGTCATTGGTTGTATACCTTGCGATGTCGAAATGCGCGATAATATCTTCACCATTTTTAACTTGGGTGATGCCGATCGCCTACGCGGTTGTACTACTCTCAATGCAAGTGTACTCATAACGATACGCAATACGATCAACGAAGATGACTTAGTACGCAGTTTGAGTAGATTACGTGAGATACGTGGCTATTTGAAAATTGTCAGGTATATATGTACATACATACATACATAGGTCTGTACAGTCTAGTGATCTTTTATATCTCCATCGCCGTTGTTTTTCAGATCTACTGGTCTTACGAATTTAAAATTTCTGTCTGGTTTAAAATCGATTGCCGCCAATCGTGATTTCTTGGAGGCTGGCGTGTATGGGCTTGTCTTATATGATAATGAAAATTTAAAAGATCTATGGCAACCAGATAATCTTAAACTGATTCATGGCAGCATGTATGTGCATTTAAATAAAAAACTATGCAACCGTAAATTGCGAGAATTTGCGCGAAAAGTGAATCATGACCGTTCGAAAAACTCATTGCAGGTGAACGATCAAGAGGTGTTGTGCGATCCGGCGAAGTTGACGTTGGATATTGAGGTGAGTAAGCTTAAAATGTGCTTATGTACTATATGATGTATGCATGTCCGCAGTCTTTTCTTCATTGCCAATGAGAAAACTATTTCTTTGATTATTTCCAAACAAGGAGGTATGGTTTTAGCTTTCAGCATTTAACTTGTTTCAAATAATTTTGTTGATTGGTGCCCTATAAAAAATGTCATAAACCCAGACATTTCTTACTTGCCCAATTTGATTATTTGTAATGTACGTTTAGCAATTTTGTATGACTGTAAATCCTGCTCTCTCTTGGAGGACGTATCGATCTTCAAGTCGGTTAAACCTATGTTTATTTGTAAACTGTAAAACCAAGGCGAATCTATGCGAGGTGGTGTTATCAGGGCTGCCAACGATCCTTAGCTAAGAAGTGCCATATTGAGGAAAAAAAGTGTCAAATTGAAAAACAAAAGTGCCAAAAAAGGTGCCATTCTTTTTAATTCTTCGCATTTAGCATTAAAATTAGAAACACATTCCTAAAACAAAAGTCCAATACCAAAATAAGATAAAACAGTTGTATACACTATAGAAATTAGAAAATTTTTGTTTACAAAAAAAAGTAAAAGCAAAGGATTTCACAAAAATGTATTGAAATATCACAATTTTTCAAAACTGCCATTTTTGCACTTTGTGCCAAATTAAAAAATTATGTGCCATCAAAAATAAAATAGGGCCAAAAATGGCACGGTTTGAGCTAAGTTGGCAGCCCTGGCTGTTATCGGATCCGCTGATTTCACGGCGAATATGTACCTTTTGTCAAAATGATGTGTTTGTTGTAATTTTGCTTTGTACTGATTGTCAATGTTCTATTATTCTATCAACACCACGCTATATAAATTCGCCTTGTGTACAACGCTATGACTAACAGCTAAGTTTAGGAGTGCTGTCTATAATGATTAACACGTTCAGACCTAAAGTTCACAGGTCCAAGAGCCTTTATTTGCTGCCTTCGAAACTTTAATAGTTTTCACAGGTTTCACTTTTACGAAAAGGGTTGCCACCTGTTAAATAATTAAGTTCAACTAATTTAAAAAGTTAAGTCAATTATTACAATATACTTAGGTATCAGTCGAAATGGTTTTGAAATGGGTTTATCTCTTAACTACGTGAAGGAGGGTTGCCACCCGTTTAAAAAATCAAAAAGAGGGATTTAAGAAGGAAGGTTGAAATTATTTTGAAAAGGGTTGCCACCTGTTTAATAAGTCGAATAAAATCAGTTTATATCCAAGCTATATGAAATATTAAAATGGATGTCAAATGAAAGAGTTTTAAGAAATCTGCAGTTTAAACATTTCGAATATTTTTGAGGGTTGCCACCGGTTAAAACGGTTAAATTTAAATTATTTAATGAGTTAAATTACTGTTATCAATCGAAATGGGTCCAAAAATCCTTTATTTCTGCACTATATTTAAGAGGGCTGCCAAGTGTTTAAAAAGTTAAATTCAACTTAATTCGTCAATTACTTGAAATATTTACCACAATGTCGGACGAAAAAAGTTTCGAAAATGGTTGCCACCTGCTTTAAAAGTCGAAGTTTAATTATACACACGTTATAGGAAATATTGAAATATGGGTGCCAAACGAACGAGTTAAGAAATCTTTATATTTAGAATCTTTGAATCTTGAATTTGGAATCTTTGAACATTTTTTTTTTTTTTTTTTTGAGGTTCATCAGATCTGCCCCGTTATTTCGAATTTTCAAAATTAGATGAAAATTAAAGAACTGAGATTGTACATTTATGTGCAATAAGATTAATTTGTTCAAAGTTAGAACTTTTTTAGCGGTACAGAGTGATGAGATATGATGAAATGAAAAACCGACACCATGCGAGACCTCTTTTCACTCAGAAATTACTTTAGATGAATCATTTTGAGTTTTTTTTTGCAACTTGTTAAAAAAGTTAAATTAATTTTTGGCGTTTTAACGCCATGCGGGTTCACCAGTTTTCATATATTTGCCATACGTTGACTATTTATGTTTCGGCTGTGTCGTACCAGAAAAAAAGCCGAGTCTATTGAGTGGGTACTAAAAGAGATCGTTAAATATCGTGTGTGACATACATACGTTCGGCACGGATAAGTAGGAGTTTAACTGGTCACTATATCAGAAAGGAAATTCAGATCTGCTTAAAAACTAGGTCAAAAATATTCACGATTTATTTTCTAAACTTTTCTATCTCAAATACATCAGAAACTCTCACTGAGCGCTAGTGCTGCATATTTTCCCTTGATTTTCTCCAAAGTTCTTTATGTGTCCTTTCTTATCCTTTTAATTACTACGAAGGTATTATCACATCGGTCCGCAAAATTCAGCTGGCTCAAGGCACAAACTTCTTTCGAAGTGGAGATCATGTACCGTCCGATTGGCCCGAATGAGGAGTTCGTTGAGCATAGCGAGCTGGATAGTCACATCTGCAATAGAATCCAATGGACACGTGCTCTTATCTTTCCAATGGAGCTGCAAAGCAACGATACTCACTACAGCTATACTGCGCAAGATTTAAGGCCCAAAACGCGTTATGCGTGCCTAGTAAAAACATTCGGTCTGGCCGACATATATGATGCACGAAGTGAGTTGAAGTACATAACTACAAAACTGGACTTGCCCGCCCCGCCGACAATCAACGTCACCAAAAAAACTGATGTTTCACTCACCATAAAACTGGAGCAGGCAAGCGAAGACATTGTACGCTACTATATCTTAGAATTATACGAACATCCCGACAACCAAGCTGAGCTGGATCGCCGTGATTTCTGCTTGCAACCGAGTTATATGTACCACGAGGGTGAAACCGTCATCAGCGTTGAGGATCACGATACCTGTTGTGCGCGTAAGGAAGAAGAAATGGACGACCTTCGTTTTACAAAGAATATGCGCAAACTCTTCGAATGCGATTTAGATCATAAGGAGAATTGCATGGCCAACACCGCCATGGCAGCGCCAACTACCGACACAACAGCCACATCATTTAAAGCAATGCTCCGGCTGCATTTGGATGCGCTAAACGGCAATACGACCATTATTCCACACCTCGAACGGTTTCGCTTGTACACCATACAGGTGCAATCCTGCAATGAAGTTGGCTGTGGTACCTACGCATTCTACTGGACACGCACCAACTTGTCGATTGGCGGCGAGCGATTGGAAGCTTTACATGCCTGCCGTGTCTCTGGTATAAATGAATTTCATGTGAATTTCCGGGAACCAAAACACCCGAATGGCATGATCACCTCGTACGTGGTACACTTTCGCCAAGTGCTGCCAAATGTTGAGAATTACAGAAGTCACATCGAATGCGTGACACGTGCGCAACACGTGTACAACGATTATCAACTGATCGCTCAATTGGATGCGCCATTCAATGAGGTAGCAGTGCGGGTTTACTCGTTGGCCGGTGGCTTCTTCACCAGCTGGGTGCCTATAACCATTTGTCCATTTGATGCAGCTGTTGTCAAGATGGGCGCGGCAACTGACCGCGAAAATCACATTGGATATGGCACCAAGATTTTCCTGGCAATATTCTTAATCAGTATCTGTGCGGCCATTGCGTGGGCGTGTTTCAAATCTCGTTGGTGGCGAAATATTACTGCTTGGCGACGCCACCTGGCCTTGTGGTGGGCTCGACAACGACAGCGGCATGGTGACTCTGGAAACCCGCTTGTGGAATACCGGCATCAACCCGAAGACGATCGAGACGATAATTCGGATTAAGGAAGAGATGGCTAATGAAGTAAAGGACATGAGAAATAATAAAGCAGTAGTTTTAAAATTTTAGTAGTTCTTTTAATTGGTGGGAGAATCGAAACGCAAAGCCAAAGTTAAAAAAAAAATAACTTCCGTGATTTAACAAAACTTAAATGTTTAATTTAGAGTATTATTGTTATTATTATTATTAAATAATTGCTCTCTTAATTTCGATAATCGCTAGAACTTACTATTAGATGGAAGTGGAGTCCGCGACATGCTTTAACACGATTCCTGTACATTGTTTAAGTGAAACTTATTGAGCGGTGATGGGGAATTAAAAAATCGCCACGAAGAAATTTTACACCTGGGGTGCAACGAGAGTGCATGTCTCTTCGTGCTCCTGCGGCCAAAAATAATTTGGAAAGTAAATTGTCGTAACGTGCTACATTAAAAACATTTAAATTTAGATTAAGATTAATACTAAATTTAAAATTAAAATTATTAACAGCCAAATTCATAAAAAATGAAAAAGACCAATTGCTTTATAAATCGAAAATTGGTGTTAAAATAACACTTAATAAAGCGTTTTAAATCAATTTTATCTTTATGAATAAGGCTTTAAGACTGCAAGAAATGACTCGAGAGAAATTTTAATCCCGTATTATGTCCCAGGCACACCTAGTTTTTATTGTTGTTATAAGTGGATTTTTAAATCTGTGTTGTGGTCAATTCGAAGAAAAATCAAGTAATTAAAAATGTGGTGATTTAAAATTGTTGTATGATAGCGAACGATTCATTTTATTGTGCTTAAAAACAACTATACATATATTATATTTGTAAACAACAAATATACATACACATACTTAACATGTAAGACCAAACAATAATAAAATATTAAGGAATATTAAATTTTATAATGATCCAACTTAAATCATTTATCCCAATCAATGCATTTGCCATTGAAAACAATATTAAACATATCCTTTGCTGCGAGATATCGTGGATCCTGCAAAATATTTAAAAAAAGGCAATATAATTATTATTATAAAACCGAATGGAAACCCTCCCTTCTACCCCAACTGACCTTCGTAATACCCCGACGAATATTCCGTTTTTTGAAAATTCATCACGAATTGCACTTTAACTGTTCCCTTTTCCAAAGCCTCGATCAACTAAAAAAAATAAATGGTTCCGTGCTGCATGATTTGAAGAATAATTACACAAACTGTATCTTCGGACATTTTTTCAGTAGCGTTAACACATCCTTCGGCGTCAACGCATCCAGTTTATAGAAGTTAAGGCACGTCAGTTTGCTTAGATTTTCAAAACCATTAATACAGCCCGGAATGATTTCGAAATCGCCATTGCAAACTAATTTCTTTAGTTCGCGAAATTGAGTTAGCATAAAAGTCGCGTCTATTGGCACTTGTTGCAGCGTCTCCAGGAAGATTACTTGCATATTGTGCCACCGATGGTTGCGCAAATCGATGAGAAATCGGCGCACATAACCGTACGCGATAATCTTCGTCAGTTTGGGCAACCGCGCAAGCGCCCAAGTTCGTTGTATATCGGCACAAGATTACTATCCGAGTACGGTTGTTGAATGTCGAGTATACAAAGGTATTTTGCACTTTTGAAGATATGCACCAACTTAATATCATAAAATTTTCTTACAATTGGATAAATATAAAGCGCGAAGATTCGTCAGTGTGAGTAGACCATGGCCTTGTTAAGAAGATTTCGTTACAATTTAAAAATTAATGGCGAATAAATACATACATACATAATAGCTCTGATCCTGTACTCCACGAACTTGCAGGTTTTTATACGAGCTTGCAGGAAGTTACAGAAAGTTGCAAGATTTTACCCGACCTTTTTCTGCAGGAAGTTAAAGGAAAAATGATCCCATACTCCGAATTCCTCCTAAATCCTGCAAATGAGAGCGATTGTTGGAGAGTTGTGTAGAGAAGGAAATTGCAAGATTTTACCCGAACTTTTTCTTCTGGTAAAATCATGAAAAGTGTCAAGCGATCACTGGTTGACGTTTTTACAGGAAAAATGCTTTTTTTTTGTTCCCGTACTTTTTGTTGTAACTCACTTTTTAATCTGGAGTACGGGATAAGTTACAGGAAAAAACTTTATGCAAGTTCGTGTAAAAACCTGTAAAGTTCATGGAGTACTGGATAATAATAATAATAATAATAATAATAGAATGGCGCTTACACATATGTTAGTGTTTGGCCGAGCTTCTCCTTCGATTTCTGGCGTGCGCCTTGATGTTGTCACACAAAGCGGCGGGACCTACAGTTTTACGCCGACTCCGAACGGCGATTGTATTATTATGAGAAGCTGTTTTTCAAGAAAAAACTTTTTTTCTATATTTTTTGGCGATGTTGCTTTGACCAGGGCTTGAACCCAGGCGATGCGGAGTGAAAGCGCGCACTGCTTACCACTACACCACAGCGGCCGATACAGCGGAGTGCAATCCCAAGATGGTCGGTTCTACGTTACCGGATTGACTCGGAGCAATCACTCCGACCAAGGACCATCACCACAGCTGCAGCAGCAGCGGAGTACCGGATCAGAGCTAATATAATTCCACCATGGTTTAAACGGACAAAAATGGGTATATATTTCATAATTCAAAATTGTTTAGTTCACATCCAGGAAAATGAAATTTTTGTACACTTTCGCAGAATAAATCTAGTACAAAACTGCCCAGCTGATTTGAAGTTATAACGTGAATAAAATTAGTTGGGAAGAAGAAGACCGCGTAAACAAACAGAAATGCACACATTCCAACGAAATTTTATGGTAACTGGGAAATTGATTTAGTGAATTTGCGTACATAAAACTGAATTTTGATGACATTTTTAGAAAGAATCACGTTCCGTTGTAAAAAGATGTCTCTATGATATCCATTGCAAAGATCTCAACGACGTAGTTATTGCATCTGCGGTACGTACGCCTATCACCGGTTTTACTGGCCTACATCCATCACTGTCGGCCCCACAATTGGGTGCTATCGCCATCGATGCAGCGCTTAAACACTCTGCTGTGCCTCCAGAAGCAGTACAACAGGTATATTTTGGCAATGTCATGACGGCTGGCACTGGTCAAGCGCCGGCACGTCAAGCCACACTCTTGGCAGGCTTGTCGAAGCGTGTTTGCTGCACAACAGTGAGTGCGTCCAGTGTAACAGGTATCAAATCTATAATGTTTGCCGCGCAAGCCGTAAAATTGAGACTCACAGACGCAGCCATAGCTGGCGGAATGGAATGCTTGTCGAACGTGCCGTATTATATGCCACGTACTTATCTTTACTCGGGAGATGTAATAATGCAGGATGGGTTGGTGGCTGATGGTGTAACAGAAAAACCAAAAAAAGGTTTACTTAAATCGTTTGGAATAACAAAAGAAGAGTGCATCAATTATACAAAAGAATCATATGTGCGTATGCGGAGGGCTTACCGCGCTGGTTTATTCGATTTAGAGCTGGTGCCATTGCGTATAATGCAGACATCTAGATTACCGATTATAGTGACCGAAGACGATATGCGAACATTGCCGGATACACTAGCCGACCAAGAGAATAATGAACGGCATGTTGTAGGCGATGGAGCCGCAGCGCTAGTATTAACGACAAATGAAATGGCGAGACGGTGGAATTTGAAACCTTTGGCTAGAATATTAGGATACAATGAATCAAAAACAAATGATTCAGACTTTTTAGTGGCACCTGCTATTGCCGTCAAACGCATGCTAGAAAATATCAACTGTACAAAAGATGATATTTCGCTATGGGAACTGGACGATTCTTTTGCCGCGGTGCCATTGGCGGTAATGAAGGAGTTGGAATTGAATCCGGAAAAAGTGAACGCACATGGAGGCACTATGTGTCTCGGCCATCCTATAGCAATGTCAGGTGCTCGTTTAGTAACACATCTGTCCCACGCGCTACAGCCCGGTCAGATAGGTTGTGCTGCAATTACGAATGGAAGCGGCAATGCAGCTGCATTATTATTACAGAAAATGTAAGTTTTAATATTGTTAACATGCTATATGTATACATACTTTATCTTTAATTTAAAACTCGATGCTTATTTCAGTTCTTATAACTGCGAAAACGCCGAACATAAGTTACCTGTGCTGACGTTATATACAAAGGATGACTGCACTTTGTGCGAAGAACTAGTTAAGGAACTCGAAATATATTTCGATGGACAATTTACTTTAGAAAAAATCGATATTACTCAAAAAGAAAACCTCCGATTCCTTCGTTTGTACCGCAATGATATTCCAGTGCTTTTCCTAAATGGACAGTTCCTTTGCATGCACAAACTAAATGTCAACCTATTAGGACGCAAAATGGAGGAGTTGCGGATGAAAAGAAAATTTTAAGGCTACATACATACATATGTATGTTTGTACGTACGTTGTAAAATTGACCAAGGCAAATAATAATTTTTGTTTTCAATATTTTTATCATGTTTTTTTTTATTTTTACTGTGGTTTTTACAAGTTTTCATTTAAGTTGCTCTGTATGTATGTATGTATGTACATATGTATGTTTGTTAGGGGCAAATCTTGCAATCAATTTTTGACCAACTTCCTGATGACCCGGGGACTTGAAACTTCACAGTTGGCTCAGAACCCGATGACAATGCAATACGCAAGATGAGTTAATCCGATAGGTGGCGGAAGATATTTGATAATTCCGTATTTATAGTCATATGTAGAACGTATATTGTATCATCATAAAAGTAGCCCAAAGGGTTTTGGAGTATGTTGCTGCAGTGACGCATACACCTAGAGGTATCCGCGGTTGCTGCAGTCGGTTGTTTTTCTTTTTTTTTTCAAATTTGGTTGTTTGGTAGTTTTTTCTCTGGTTTGATTGTCTGTTTTTTTAGTTAGAATAATCCCTATGTTTAATGTAACGTGCTTTATATGCACATATACTATAACTTCTGCCAGAATGTAAGTTAAGGTTGTTTTCCACAAAATTTTCATTAAAAAAAGGCCTCAAGCTCAAAATTGTTGATTTTTTTTTGTAATAAGTTTATCTTTTTGTAAAGATAATTGGATAACAAATTTAGTTGTTTTTTCAGGGTTTGGTTATTTATTTTTTTAGCAAGTGGCAACCGTGCATATATGTCTTGGCAAATGGATCACCCTTCATTAAATAACATGGCTGTCTCTGCATGCAAAATCTACCCTACCGTGAATGATGGCGAAGGAAAAAGGAAAGAAGAAGATACTTTGTGGTTTTTTTTTGGTGTATAAAAAAGGCTGATTTTGCAGGTGGAGCAAGTTTTATTGAAATAATTAATTAAATAAATAAAACCAAATACAAAATATACCCAAAAAGAACAACGAATTGAAAATGGCTCAAATGGATCTTGAATTGAAAAAGGTTTGTATTAATTAAATGTTTTGGCAGTATGTCACAAAGAACCCAGTGTCCACTGCCGCTCAATGTGTTTAATGTGACTAACCAAGAACTGTTTATCCATTCTAGGCATTCACCGAAATGCAAATTAACAAAATTGAGACCACCAAAAAAAATGAATATGATCGATATGAAATGCAGCATGGTGAAAAATGGAAAACAGAAATATGAACTAACAGAGAAAGGCACCAGCGATCTGACGGATGATACAAGGTCTGAAAATAAATTTCGTGCTTGTATGTATGCATGTATCTGAATATCATTATTGATGCAGACCTCCCTATTGGATCACCGCATTTTTTACTTTCACAAATAATTTCTGCATTTTGGTAACAAATTTTCCTTTTAGAGTCTACCTTTCTGTGGGACGCATGTTTGTCCTAACCGATGTAGAGAATATGCGCAGCGATCTCAAGGGAAAGCAAGAAAAATGTGATAAGGCCATCGAACTGCTCAATAAAAAGAAGGAATTTTTAGTGAAATCATTAAAAGACCAAGAAGATGGCCTGCGCGAATTAGTACAACAGCGCAAGGAAGCCGATGCGGCGGCAAAATGAATATTTAAATCTTTAAATTAAGTTTGCTTAGTTTATTCATATACATACATAAATTTCTAAATACTAAATTCTGTTTCCCAATATTTTCCTCCAAATAAACTAATATAGACGTTCAATAAAATACATTTTGGTATGTACATTACATGGAATTTGCAGCCGGTTTCACAAAACGATTGAAATAAATTCCAACTCCATGTAAATAAATCGTCCCCAGAATTTAACAGACATATCGGAAACAATTGACTTTAACTTGCTTTATAATTTTTGCGAATATTTGTTCACGTGAAATTCGCGTTAGGGCCGAATATTTTTTTGATCCATTCAAATTTATGTTAAATTTTTGAATCGGAAATTATATGAACCGATTTATTACACCTATTTCTATAATATTAATCTATGAATTTACATAACTGTCAATATCGAAATTCGCAAATGAAACAAACTCGTTCCCCAAGTTACGTTCATGTCTTGGTTCAAAAGCACACTTTTTCAGTTGCAAACAAGTTGTCAGCCATGGCTCGACAATGGCGCCGGAGCAAAATAAAATTTTTGTACTCGATTTGCTTAAACTGCCTATGATTTTAGATATTTTTGTAATACATTCTTCTGATAAAAATGGGGGATCAGCTATGATAAGATCGAATGTTTCCTTGAATTCTTCAAGATATCCACTTTCATTTGCTTTGTTAAAATCATAATGTACAAAATCCTCCCCACACGCAGAGAAGCGCTTATCGAACTCGAAGATTTTCACTAATAGAGAGAGATACATATGTAAGTAATCAATTATTTGAATGTGTCTCATTACTTGCCATTATTGTGCAATTGCTTCACAGTGTCGTATAGTGAAGGACAGGATAGAAGGGCTATGCGGTAACTATTCTTGTTAGCCTCATTTTGCAGCTCAGAAAGCAATTTGCAAACTGCTTTTCCCAGCGCCTGCTTAGTCGATTCATTGTACCAAAACTGACTTAGTTGCTGTAATTGTATGTACATATATATACGTACTACAGCTAATATTTACAGAAACCCACCCAATCTTCCTCGAACATCACATCCGTGGCGGCTTTGCTTTCTATCCGTTCAAGCTCATCCCGTTCTCTTTGTGCCTTCTGTTGAAGAAATTCATTGAGTATCTTTAATGTGTCCGCAGGAAGAGTAAACTCGTCATCCATTGTTTTATTGAACGTAACAGTTCAGTTTAACTGAATCCTTTTTTGTTTGTTAGACCGCCAGTTAAAAATATATGAAACAATCCTCGATTTTACAACGCGTGGACGTAGTATTGGGATGTAATATCATTAATCCAGAATAAATATCGATGACTGCTATCCGATGCATCGGTTTAAACATAAATTGAATAATAAACATAGCACATATTTTGTTTTATGATTAATAAAACCAGATACATAATTAATTCCTTCTGTAAATTAATTAAGCGGTATTTCAATTAATGCTTTGGTTTATTTATTATTTACATATATATACATAATGAAAGAAATTTTCATTCATTGCATGACATCGAAAAAACATCGATTGCTCTTTTACTCACATATCTTTCCTATCAATTGTGAATGAATGCATTGAAGTCAGAGAACGTATATTTATACGTTCTCTGTTGAAGTCAGAAGAAGTTCTCTGCAGTTTGTGACGTTCATTGATGGCGATGAGTGAAGTTGTTTAAATTAATAGGAAAAGGATTTGCCTATTTAGTATTACTACATATATTATATCGCACAGTTAATAACGAAAAGTGTATTTTATTTGTTGGTGTTTTTATTCATCGATCGTTAGTCCAGCAGTTTTCGTGTACATCACCAAATATTCAGTAAAATGTGGAACCGAGTTGTATGTGTTGCGCACAGAGTAGAGTAACGGAATATTTTCACGTGGTCGGAATAAATTTCACGTGGTCGTGTCTGTTAACAGTATTCTAATTGGAAAAAGTTTCTATTTCATAATTAAATTGGTATCAATTGATTAGGTACTCTTCGTTGCGGTTTCATTTTTGTTTTTTTTTTCGGTTTTGTAATAGAGCAATCGGAAGTGGAATTATTAATTCAAGTGAAAACTTCCGGTTGTTTATTTTTTAAGCGAAAATAAAAAGTTGAATATATAAGTGTTCTGAGATTAAGCAAATGTTGCGCTACATCTATAATGGGAATATATAACAAATAGGAGTTGTTACTGGAATTGGAAAGAACGGACGACTTGCTTTCTGCGGCTACCGGTAAGTGTATTTAATAATACAAGTATTTTGGTGTCATGGTGTATTCTTTTAATTTTTGATTGTCTTGTAACAAAAAGTTCTACGCGACACTTGTTGTTGGTGTAACAGTATAGAAATTTCCCAAAGAGTTTCCTCGGGTCGATCGAATACATGTAAGACCAGCCATCGTGAAATCGTGGTTAGCTCAACTGCATTGATTGTTATAATTACAGATTTACTAGAGACCGAAAATGGATACTGTTTAGTAAGTGGCCCACCTATTTCGGGGTATTGCGGGCAAAGGGGTGACCCGATCCAAAAAAAAATTGCACACACTTGTAGCCAAGGGTCTACCCATTATTTCAACATCCACTATTGTAATTTTTGGTCACTAATTTATTTACAAATTGGGTTTGAAATAAGCCCTTTTTTGTAAAATTTGGAAATTAGCGTACATTTATCACTCCTATTCTCCTTAAAGCAGCCACTTCACCAATTCATTTTTGTATTCCCCTTCACTTTACACTTTACTCGATTAGTTATAACTTGATTTACGACTTTAATATTAACCAATTAATCACGATTCATTAAATAAAAACACCTTCAAAATCACGCGTCTGATATGCAAAAGAATGAGAGACAAAAGAAGATAGGATATAGATCCCAGTAAGCATTAAAAATATACAAAGGTGTTCTCTGCAAAAGGTGTTCAGCTCCTTTTATTCACAAAACAGAAAGGAGAATTCTACTGCCTGAGGGTTATAATCCCTAAAGGTGTTCTCTGCAAAAGGTGTTCAGCCCCCTTTCTTTGGCAACACAGAAGAGAATTCTACGTAGTGAGGGTTATAATCCCTAAGTGCGGCCGAAGGCCGCCTACGCACAAAAAAGTTCTGCGCTAAAATACTATCATATTACTATTACTAAAACATTTCTATCTGTCGCTTTTTTCTTAATTTCACAATATTTTTAGTGGTGCTCTTCGTAAAGTGGCGACTGTCCCCTTCCGAAGGAGGGGGGTTTGGGGGGCCACGCCCCTCCCCCTCCGCCCCCCACCCCAAAAACGATGGGCCAATAACTAAACATTTCCCCCGAAAATAACCAGGCTTTGATAAATGTTTCTCCAATGGTTATTTATTTTTGTTATAAAAAATAATTCACTCGCTATAACTGTTTTTAACCAACTTCACAAAAAGGAGAGGCTATCAATTCGTCGGAATATTTTTATTTATTTTTTAATTTATGCTACTGCATAACTTTGGACCACGTTAACCGATTTCTCTAATTATTTTTTAAAGCAAAGTTTTTAACAATAATCTTAAATTTGTATATGAGAATTTAAGTGGGTTGTTGTTGTTGTGGTTGTAACAGCACAAAAAATTCCCCAAAGCGTTTTTCGGGGAGTGTTGCTGGAGTGACAGTCCTTGGCCAGATATAAATCTGGGCCGTTCCGGTAACGCAGACCCGACTGTCGTGGAAACAATTGGAGTCGGTTTTGTTTTGTGCTTAAAAATTACTTTTCTTTTTTAAATATAACGGAATTCAGGTGGGTTGTTGTTGTTGCAGCGGCTACAACGACCCCGCCCAGATCGGTTAGTCCCTCAATCGTTATCGTCAAGCTCTACTAACGGTAGCCCCAGGAAGCGTGCTGCCTCGACGGGGTCTGTCCATAGGAACAGAGCGTTAGTAGGGTGAGATTCAGAGGGCATACGAAGAGAGGCTATGAGGTATAAGGCGCCTGTTCGCATGCCGGGCATTCGTTCAGTACAGTGATTCCCAAAGTGGTCCAGGTGGACCCCCAGGGGCCACGGAAGACTCGACGGGGGTCCACGGTTATGTGAAATAATATGGGGGTCCATGAGCTGTAAATAGGGGTTCACGAAGATTTATCTGGCTTCGATGTAAATAACCACAATGGTTGCTTGATAGCCTCTTTATTTAATTTTAATTTTTTTAGTGGTGTATAGTGCTCTTGACTCACTGCTGCACTTACCGTCAGTTAGTGTTTTTCCTGTATCACACATTATCGATTCTTCACTGATGACTCCAAAATTGACTCTGGGTCATGATCTGGGGTCTCTTTCGAGCTTAATGGAGATAAGCTTCACTTTTCTGTAGGGGAATATGCTTCGGTCTTCCAGGCTGAGGTAATTGCAATACTCAAAGCCATGGACTAAGGGTGGAACATAGGTGGAGGGGAAGGAGTTTACGTGACTGCAGTGACAACCAGGCTGCACTTAAGGTATTGACCAGCCCTCTATTTAAGTACTTACGAACTAGTTCGGCAATGCAAGTCTCGACTAAAATATGATGGTGAACATAACGAGGTTGCTTTACTCTGGGTGCCAGGTCACTCTGGAGTACCTGGTTATGAGACATCTGATCATTTGGCCAGAGTTGGCTCAGACTAGGCATTCCTCGGTCCGCAACCAGTGTTAGCATTCCCACCTTCGGCAATCGAAGCAACCATCAGACACTGGGCGAATACTTCGCTCAGCAATGACTGGGCGGCATCGAGGGGATGCAGGTGGGCAAAACCCATGTTGTCTTCAATCCCAGGTATATCTAGTTTTTTGCTCTCGCTGAGCAGACGACGCTGCAGACCACTTGTTGGACTGCTGACTGGTCACTTCACGTGGCACAAAGACCTGACTGATAGGCGTAAACGACAAGTCCATTTGCCTATCCCGCCTTGAAGAGGATTAGACGGTGGAACACTTTTTGTGCTTCTTGCTTGTTTGGTTGTTTGCCATCGATTTTTCTAGACTCGTTCTTCTCTCTATTGTCAGTTTCTGAATTAAAAGTTTGGCGTAAAAAGTTTGGCCGTTATGTTGTTTTAAGTTTTGTGTTTTAAAAATGTGTAAATATTTTTCGCCTCACTTTAAAACTCGGAGCGATAAAAATAAAAATGACGGCATTAACACAGATAAACTAATTTACTCATACGCCACGTGCAAAGTCATGAGAGAGGCGAACATTTGATGAGTTTATGGTGAAGATAATATAAATAACGCTAGTGATCGCAGTGCTCGTAAAAATATAACTCTTCCGAGCGAGAGAGTATTTTGATGTATTTACGAGCTCTATTTTTTAAAACCTACAAGTGTGTAATCACATTATTCTTACAAATAGAACACAAGAACATATTTTACTTCTATTTTGGCCACTCTGAGTTTAGTTTTTGAATCCACCCACGATGCAAATTTACATTGTCAGATTTAATTTTCACATTTATTTTTTTATGGGCTTTGTATCAGCAGGGGGTCCACCGAAACCGGTAAATTTTTGAAAAGGGTCTAAGAGAAAAAAAGTTTGGGAACCTCTGGTTTAGAACATGAGTATGAGTTCAACCTGCTGCAGTAATAAGAGCGCAGTTGGGCTGTTGTGCACCGAATCTCCCGAGGCTGACGAAGTTCTGTCTCGTTCACGTCTGGTGGAACGGCACACAGGTCGAGAGTCTACATAACTCGAGACTGCCTCTCTGTGAATGCCGTTCAAGACCTGTCGATAAGCTGTCGGGCCCAGAGGTTGTTTCATGAACCTCTGGACTTCGCCCGTGAGTTCGTAGAGAAGTCTCCTGATGTGACTGGGCGAAGGCTCTTCTGTAAAGAGTGGTCTGTTTGGATGACCACGTCTGTGGCTCCCAACTAAAAACTGCAACGTTTCTTTGACTTTGCCCCAGGTGCTGCCGGCTACCGACTTGAGGACCTTGTTGCGGCTTTGCACTCTGTTGACAATTGCGGTTATATGCGCCGAGAAGGAGAGCATACTATCGAAGGTTACTCCGAGTATCTTCGGGTTGTTCACCGTCGGAATTGATTCGTCATCGACGTGAATTCCCAGTTGTAGTCTGACCTCCTTCGTCCAGGTGGTAAAAAGTGTGGCTAAAGATTTTTTAGGGGAGAGGGTTAGGCTCCGTGCAGTGAAAAAGCGCGAAAGCTCGGCGAGATAACCGTTTACTCGAACAGCCGTCAGCATAACTGCCATACCTAAACAAAAGCGTCAGCATTGTCAGGCTGTCGAAAAATTCTCATGCCCATACAATTTGTATGAAGCATACCGAAACAACGCGGCGTCAACGCTGAGCGGTTGGAAAATCCGATTATGACAGGGCGTTAGGAAGTAAAATTGGCTGCAGAAAACGGAGAAACTTTCATTTTCGTGTTTCATAAAAACAAACTCATGC